CTACAGGTTGCTGACTAGTTATTTAGGGGCCCCAAATTCAAATCCTCAGGGTGTTCTCTGTTGTCCAAGTTCAAATCCTTGGCTGTGCTTGCAGGTACATGCTATACTGTAGCTAACTGTTTCATTTTCCACTAGTTGGATTCTTAACCTTGTTCACAATTCCATTTTAATCAAATTTTGTTGCATTTTATATCCCTGAAAAGCCCCATGAGAAAAGAGGAGACATGTAATCGATTATTGATTATCATTATTAATGTTTTTCTTCTTTCGCAGTTCGTACTGTCTAGAGCTCCCATAAGAGACCACTTCGGGGATTTTTTTCCAATGTATTTTCCCAGGCCCTTTTATCTAGGCTAAGTACTCCAATAACTACAGGCACCTGCAGTTTCTATTATTATATATTATTATTATTATTACATCTATATTACTGGAAGAACCTTGCAGTTTATCAGAAATCACTTGGCACTGTACAATTTTTTCATGTTTCTTTAAAAATGTCAATAAGATTGTTTTTCTTTGTTTGCAGGTATCCACTGATGTGTTTGTAAACTGTGTCTATCCATCTGTCAAGGACATTATAGAGGGTGGATGGGCACAAGCCACACCCGAAACATTTCTTATCTCTCTTGCACTTCAGAGATGTTGGGGGGTGTGTATATGTGATGGTTCAATTTTGTTCTTGGTCTATAATTTGTTATTTTTCCTTTGTTTTTCTGCATGGTTTCAATGATAATAAGGATTGTAAGTTAATATACAATACATGTATTTTATACAAAGTTGTATACTGAAAAACACCAACTGGTCATTTCCTTGAGAAAGACTTGAGTCTTATTAAGAATTGTCTGCCTGCAAAATAGAAAAATCATGTATTCATTGTCTTTCCTCACTAGGATCATCTTGAAAGGAAATTAATAAAAAGTTCCTGGAAATGTTCTTATATTGCTGACAAGAAAAATTATGAACGGATGGCTGTGGTATTGCAGGTAAACAATAAATTAATTATTGCTTTGTTCATAGCTCCCATGTGGGCCAAGTTGTTCAAAAGACGATTAGCAGAAATCCAGGGAAAAGTCATCTAGAAAAGTCAGTCTCTGTTTACACCATGATTAATACTACATGTACAACTTAGTTTTGATGAAGTCAACTGTGTCTAACTGTTGACAAAGACTTTCTGCAGATAATGCTTTATGTGTGTTATTTTGTTGTTTATTCATATTTTTTACTAGAGATCATAACCGTCTATGGAAATATCCATTTGTTACTTTTTCACTTTGGTAATATTCATTCCTTGTTATACATGTAGGTTTGGTATACACACCTGTAGTACTGTATTGGGTGTTGACATGGTGTTTTTTATAACGTATTTCCTTCCCTGAGTTTTTTAATTTTGTTTAATACATAATAAGACAGGGTTGTCTTTCCAGTTGTAAATAATTTCTCCCCCTTCTCTAGTATACCCCACACCCCACCTCAAAAGTTGCTGCAAAAAGCTCATCCAAGGAGCTATTACCACAGAGAGACTTTTCTTCCTTAGGACTCCATTTCTTCACATCCGAGAATCCACTGTGTTTGGGATGAAGTCTTCCTCACCTTGTTTGACAACCCTGCAAGTGATGTGGAATTGTTCTGGAACAAAGTGGTGGAAGGTTTGCCGATAATTATTATTCTATTTATTCATGTTAATCGACAGCTAAAAAAAAGTACAAAAAAGTCCTTTTTTGTTTGTTTTCTAGTTCTTTAAATTTGCTTAAATTAAATTCAGTGTTCATTTAATATTTTTCTTATTCCATTATGTTTACTGATTAAAATGATTGTGTGTGTGCGTTTTTTGTTTCATACTGGTGTTGTTTGTTTATAATTTCAGATGGTCTGTTTCAGTCAACACAGAACAGAAAGTTCCTTGGATTCCAACTTGTCAGGAAAATACTTCCCCAAATCAGTGCAAGACAGGTCCCAATAGTGTTCAGTGCTCATATGATGAGGAGCTTCATTAATGGCCTGTCTTCTCCAAAGAATTACCTCCATGAAGCTACAAAACAACTGGTATGTCTGGCAGATCAACCTTGACCTATCTTCTTCATGCCTCGCGGCACATAAAGCTAGAGTCCTTCTACTTATCTCGATAGCTGCTATGGTCTTTGCTTCCTTCCACGATTGCCATCCTGCTTCTACCCTTTCCTTTTCAACTGTGTGCCTCCAGGCGGTTTTAGGTTTTCCTCTTCATCTTTTTTTTTTTCTGGTGCCCAAGTCATTGCTATGTTGCATTGTCGCTTTTTTGGATTGGTCCTGTCATAGTATATTATGTCCAATCATCTTCCATCTATGCTGCTTCCCCTCTTTACTAAAAGGTTTCATGTCTTCTCTTTTTAGCCACTCTTCAGTACTGACGTGGTGAGTCAGGCAGATCTCCAAGAGAGAGAGTCTCTCTCTTAAGAGTCTTTCCACAGAGTATGGAGATGTGGAAGCTTGAGTTGGTCTTTAGCCATCAATGCAGATGCTC